TGACAAGGTCTACAGGATTTCAGCAGTGTACTCTTCCAGCTGCTGGATTTCCTACAGATTCTTTTGAGATTGTGGTGTATAACCAGTTGCACACCAGAAGTGGGAACCATGCTATTCTTACAGGTTGTGCTCTTTTTTGTTTTCTGTCCGTTAGCGGGTCTTATGTGGTTGGTTGAGTCTTTTCTAATGCCCATGATTTCCTCATATTTGTATATATGTTCTTGAAGATGTTGTCGGGCGCTTGCATTCCATTGGCGGCATCGGTCATCAAGTGACAGAGTTTGGACCGACTGCTAAACAGACCTTGGTGCTTGAGAATCATCTGTATGTGTGTGGTGGTGTTTCTTGCTTCTGTCGGTCTGCCTTTTTATCTCCTGTTTATGTCCTGACATGATATGCTTCTGGATTCAACAGGGGTGGAACAGTTGCTATCACACTTTGGGATGAGCTGACGGCAGTTCTTGATCGTACTGCTTTGATCCAGGCAGATTTGATTGAACCTGTTATAATTGCTGTTGGGGGGCTTATGGTTTCTCTGGTTAATGGTATTTGTGTTTCTTTTTGTTCGTGTCATGGATCCCTTTCTGATTCTACACTAAAGCCCCTGAGTTTTTTTTATTTCTATCGTGGTTTCCTTATCTTGACAAAATTGCTTACTTTGGTCTCTTGCAGGGAATTATGTGTGCTCCAGTTCATCGGCTACTAGGGTGGCTGTCAGCCCACAGATTCCAGAAGCAGTTCATCTGGCCACTCAGTTTGTTCTTCTCTGCTTTCTGCACTTGATTCATTTATTTTGTTGCCTTTCTATAGGTTGTGATGTCGTTTGGTTTATTTTTTGCTAGCTTTGGAGGGTCAAGAAATCCTGTGGCGGAGCTGCCAGTGGAGTTTGCCACAGCAGAGGCAGCTGCAGCCGATGCTGCAAACCGAGCTCGAACCATAGCTGAACTGTTGGACCTTCATAATGCTGGAGCGTCGGTGGTATGCAATGGGAATGCTTGATTTTGTATAATGTGTGGTTGTTTGCGCTGTTTGGGTGTCTGATATTTTTTTGTTTTCTATTTGTTTCAATGTTGGGGTGTTCAGGAAGCCAAGTACTGTTGTGGTGGGATCGTAAGTTCTGTCGAGTCTCGGATCCCGTGGTACTACACTGCCTGCAATATGTGTTTGAGGAAGTGCTCTACGTGGAGGGGGGCTGGTTATTGGTGCCCAGAGCATTGGGAAATCTCTGAGGAGCATATCAGAGTTGGGTAGGAATTCTATCTTTTGTCCTTACATTAACTGTTTTCAGTTCATGTTTTATGGTTGGTTTATTTGGTCAGGCTTCTAATTTGACATATTGATCTCATGTTTGTTTCTTTGACAGTTATAAGATACAGTTGACTTTGCGGGACATGACTGGAGAGGCCCCATTCATAATTTTTGGGTCCTGTGGCAATGCTCTGACCCATACAACTGCACAGATTTTGGCACAGAGATACCCACACAGGCCAGGCCAACTCCCACCAGAATTGGGTGCATTGATTGGTCAGTACTTCAAGTTTGAGGTCAAGTTACCGATGGTGCCAGTTGGTGGATTCTCCAATGGAGAGTATAGAGTGTTGAGGGTGTTCCCAAATGACAATCTTGACGCTCAGCTACCACCTCCAATGATGCTTGCTCTGCCTCCGATTGTGCCTGCCCTGCCTCAGGTTGCAGCTGTGGTTCCTGCTCAGTCCTCTCACCACCCTCAGGTGGTCCAACCCAGTAATCAAGTTACCTTGAATGTTTCACCGGGAGGCACGCAGTTGTCTCCTGCCAGTACCTATGGAGCGTCATCAAGCAGGTGACACACTACTGTTATATTGTTATTTTCAGCTTTTTTAATTATTTTTGTTCTTTCAGAGTGTTTATGGGTTTTTGTACTGATCAGTTCTGCAAAGGGAAAGGAAAAGATCTCCAGTCCAGTGTTCTAGAATGTCAATCCAGTTTTCTGCATTGGTCAGCATGTATCTGAAATGCCAGGGTAGTTATTTTCTTTGGTCTTCAATTTTTCCTTTGTTGGAGTGTCTTTTATTGTTGTGTGTCTCTCTATTGATTCTTTGAGTTTTGCAGCCAAGTGATCGATCAAGCCCTGCCTGCTAATCTTCCATCAGACAACCTGGACATCTCTCATGGTAATGCAGCCCCTGTCTCACAGGGATTGACTCTCCCCCTGGATCAGATGGTGTCCAGTTCATATCCTGACAACCTTCAGGGAGTGCTCAAGGCTGATGCAACAGTCGTTGCTGAGCCACTTGCATCTGCGAGTGGACCTGTTGTGTCTACCAATGTTCCTGCAACTTCAGCTCTGGTGGTGAATGAAGGACCAAATGTGTCCATCCCATCTCAGGCTATAACTTCCAATGATCCAAGTACTCTTGCTGGAAGTGCTGTTGTTTCACAGAATTCTTCTCCAATGACCAAACTGTGAGTTGTTGTACTGATTTGGTGGTTTGAGTTTCTTTTGCTAATCTGTCACTTATTATTCATATATTTTTGTTTCAGTTTGGCCTCTCCTTTGGCTAAGGTCAAGTTGGAGAAGCTGGACAGTACAACACCCAAGAATGACAATGATGGCTCTCAGAGTTCTGCTCCTTTTACTATAGGGGAGTCAACCACTGGTGTTAGAGCTAGCAAGCGTACTCCTGTCAAGCGTCGCCTTTATGATGCATGAATGCTCTTTTCTAGCCTAGCTGAATTTTGGTGGCATCAAAGGTCAGTATATGAGATGTTGGCCATTGTTATTTCTGTGCCATGTTAAATCCTTTATGTCCTGGCCTGATTATTTGTCTATTATCTTCTGTATAGGTGGAGCTGAATGTGTTACATGGTGCTGGTAGTTGCTTAATCAAGTTTCTGGTGTTTCTCATGTACATATGGACTACCGATCGTGCGGCCCAAGATAGTTTCCTTCCTCGACTTTTGGATTAGTTGATGGTTTTTTTTGGGGAAATGTGGGTTTGTTTTGTGGGAGCCAGCAATGTAATAGTAGCAGAATGGTTGGTGATGCTGCAATGTGTAAGTCCTATGTAGTTCTGTAGTGTCAAGAACAAGTATATGGTAATTATGCTTGGTGACAGGTATCTGAACCATGTGTAAATGTCAGTCATGTAAGCTCTGTTATGTACTTCTGGTATCTTATGTTAATATGTATGTGATGTTGTTCCCCTATAATTGAAGTTGTGTTTTTTTACTCAGGGTGATCACCATTTCTATATCATTGAGCAAGGGAGGTTTTGACTATTATTAGACAAAATATGACGTTGTTCTCTAGGCCATGAGTTTACAGTTTGGTGAGCTCTTACTTTTTATATGACAGGATTTCAGTTGTTAGCAGTGCTCTACAAATTTTGCAGCTTATTGGTGCTGTAGCTCTTACCAAACTGATTGATAATCCTACTTTTATTGAATAGAAGGATCACATTTGCTTTCTTTAGTTTGTAGAGACCTTCGTTATCTTAAATTTCTAGGCTTTGTGATTACTTGATAGGGTAAATGAATTGTATATATATCAACTCAGAGGCAACACATATACATACACAGGCATATATACACACATGCACACACTTTTTTATAATTTTTGCAGGGACAGATGTTGCTTTCTATGTGGACCAGCAAAAGATCCCATTTCTTTCATTTCGTCGGTCACCCTTCAACAGTGAAACCCCATGCATTTAATGCACTCTGACTCTAAATGATCTCAGAGGGATGGTGGTAATGATTACCTTATGTGATAATATTAAGTTGGTGTATTACTCAACACTATCAATTAGAAACTATTGTGTTTGTTGTGTGAGAGAGACTTTCTTGCTCAACAGACTTTCATCTCTCAGCTTGATAACCATTAAAGCTGCAGCTCTGCCTGTGAGATTTTCAGCAAGTGTTTCCATTCATTCCCTAAAGCTGTTCAGCCTCTTGCTGGCTGCTGAGTCACAAGAGGAGACAGGTTAGTTAAATCTTCCCCACTTATTTGTCTCATGAGAATTGTCAGTTGTGTTTCACGGTTGTTCAGCTCATTTATTGTGATTGTATACATTTATGGTGCAACTTCATTTGAAATCTTAACATCAGAGATTTATTAAACAAATGTCTCCATTAAATATCTGCAGCTCTTGATGTTTCTGGTGTTTGCTGATTGACAAAAGGAAACAAGTTGGTGAGAACTTTTTCATGTTTATGTCATCTGAGGAGTGTCATTTATTATTCATGATTGTTTTGCTCATTTATGGTATATATATGTATGTATGTGTGTGTTGCTAGAAATGCCTCCAAAAAGGAAGCGACCAACAACTTATGCTACGCTGAAACGCAAAAAAACAAGAATGGTAGCTGCTGCAGGTGCCCAGAAAGAATCTGCAGATTGTCATGACTTCACTCAACCTGTCCTGGATCCTTACCAAACAAACCAAGGCTCTGTAGGGATGGATGGTGGTTCCTCTACTGGCCGTATGGGTTCAGGTATTGTTCCGGCACGCAGACCTCTTTGCAGCGAAGTTTTGAATATTGGGAAGCCAGAATGCATATGTCAGTATTGTGGAGCTCTTTTTTGGTACGATGAGAGGTTAAATCGTCAGCGAAATACATCTCAGCCGATTTATGGAATATGTTGCCAGAAGGGTAAAGTTGATATTCCTCTCCTGATGCAGCCTCCTCCTTTGCTTGCACAGTTGCTTGATCTTAATGGAGGATCGATGTCCAAACATTTTAGAGAAAACATACACCCATATAATGGTGCCTTATGTTTTACATCTTTTGGAGCTAAATTGGACCCTAGATCCCTTACAAGCAGAGGTCCTTACTCCATGGTTATTTGCGGAGAAAATTATCACAGGATTGGTTCATTGCTGCCAATGGATGGAAAGAAACCAAAATTTGCCCAGTTATATGTATTTGAACCTGAAAATGAGTTGAGTAACAGATTAGCCAATTTTACATCTCGAGAAACATTGCTTCTTCCTGAGCTGTTGACCTCATTAATGAGGATGCTTGATGAGACTAATGTTTTAGTCAAGACTTTCAGGAGAATTCGACAAGAATTGCATCAATCATCCACTCCGAATCTTCGACTTAGGATATTTGGGATGGAAAGCAGGAATCGTCAATATGATTTGCCAACAAGTGATGATGTAGCTGCTTTGATTCCAGGGGATTTTGTGCCAGATAGAAGAGACAGGGACATCATAGTCGACCACAAAGATGAAGGCCTCAAACGAATCTCAAGTGTCAACCCAAAATTCGAGGCGCTTCACTTTCCACTGCTTTTCCCATACGGCGAAGATGGATATCATCCTTTGATACCATATAATTCTAGGTACTGTTCGGTTTCAGCTAAGCGAAGGTTTGTAACTCAAAGGGAGTATTATGCATTTCGGTTGCAGTACCGCATGAATGAAGGTCATACATTGATAAAAAGTGGGAAAGCTCTTCAGCATTACTGTGTTGATGCCTTTTCTACTATTGAGCTTAACCGACTTGCTTTTCTGAGAAGCAACCAAAAGGAACTTCGCGCTGAAGTTTACCAGGGTCTGCAAGATGCATTTGCTAGGGGTGGCATGGATGCTGATAAGCTTGGACATGTTATCATACCTTCTTCATATACAGGTGGCCCAAGATACATGCAACAATTATATTATGATGCAATGGCTACATGTCAGTTCTTTGGAAATCCAGATTTATTTGTTACCTTCACATGTAATTCATTGTGGGAGGAGGTAACTACTGCCTTTGATGAAATTGCCGGTGCACATGGTGAGTACAAACCAATGGTGGTTTGCCGGGTATTTCATATAAAACTTATGAAGCTGATTGATGCAATCAAACAAGGAAACTATTTTGGCAAGACTATAGCATGTGAGTATCATTTTGTTTAATCTGTTTTGTTCATATGTTAGTTTGTTATGTAGTATATCACTAGGTTGAGACATGTTGGATTCTAATGTGTGTGTTCTGTTATGCTAAATGGATCATGGACCTTCTGCTATTGCACCTCATCTATAAGCCACCATTGTTATATATTTTTACCTGCAAATGGCTGATTCCTATTTTCCTTTGTCTTATGCAGTGATGTATACTATTGAATTCCAAAAAAGAGGACTTCCTCATGTACATTTGCTTATATGGCTTGCTGACCCGGACAAGATCGCAAGTACAGCAGACATAGATGAGACTATTTCTGCAGAAATTCCCGATCCCCATCTCGATCCTATTGGATATGAAACAGTTGTTAGGCTAATGCTTCATGGACCGTGTGGAAGTGCAAATCCAGCAGCACCTTGCATGAAGGATGGAAAGTGTTCTAAATTCTTTCCGAAGGAATTTAGTTCAGAAACTGTGTTTGATAAGTTTGGAAATGCCATCTATAGACGTAGAGACTCTGGGATTCAGGTGAAAAAGGGCAATGCAGTTCTGGACAATAGGCATGTTGTTCCTTACAATAGGAATTTGTTGGTTATGATGCAGGCTCACATTAACGTCGAGATTTGTCATAAAGGGGGCTTAATCAAATACTTATTCAAGTATTTGACCAAAGGACCAGATAGATCCCTGGTAATCGCTGAAGATTATGCAACTTCCAGAGAAATTCCCTCGACAAATGCAGCAAAGAACAAAGATGAGATACAGGAGTACATTGATTGTAGATCCCTATCCTCATATGAAGCAATATGGAGAATCTTTGAATATGAAATACATCACAGAGAACCCGCGGTCGTTCGACTTTCTGTTCATCTGGAAGGACAACAAAAGGTGCCATACAGAAAACAGTCAAGTGTTCGCAGCGTGCTCAGAAATCCAAGGTCTGGAAAAACACATCTCACGCAATGGTTTGCTCTGAATCGAAGGGATCCGAAGGCAAGAAAGTTGACTTATGCACAAATACCAAATTCGTATACATGGAACGAAAATGATAATGAATGGACTCCACGGAAAAAAGGATTTGCGATAGGCAGAATTGCATATGTGCCTCCAGGAAGTGGTGATGTCTTTTTCCTTAGACTTATGCTGACAAAGATTCATGGACCAACAAGATACGTTGCTTTAAGAACTGTTAAGGGAGAGGTCTGCCCTAGCTATGAAAAAGCATGTGAGAAACTAGGATTGTTGTCTGACTCTTCAGAATGGGTTAGAGTTTTTCAAGAAATATCAGCTTCCAGCATGCCAAATTTAATAAGGAGTACATTTGTATGTATGCTGATGTTTTGTGAGGTTCCAAACCCTATTGAATTGTTTGAGTCAAGCTGGAAATTCATGGCTGAAGACCATGCTTATTCTCTAAGAAAACAGTTCCATTCGACAGCTTTTCAGCCTTCTGAAGAGAGGCTGCGTAATTGGGTCCTTCGTCAGTTACAAGCTTTGCTGGGATCTCATTCATCATCATTGGCCCAATTTAACCTTCCACAGCCAACAGACTTAGGAGTAGATGATGGATCAAACTCTTTACTTAGAGATCACTTGAGTTTTGATGTTTTGCAGCAACAAACACTTTCAGATACACTGCTGCAGTCACTAAACATGGATCAATTCGAGGCCTATTCAGCAATTATGGTTTCAATCCATGGAAATTTGGGTCGTTCCTTCTTTTTGTATGGTCATGGAGGCACCGGGAAGACTTTCTTATATAACACCGTCATTGCAAAATTAAAAAGTCTCTCAAAAGTTGTCATTGTTGTGGCTTCATCTGGCATTGCAGCAACCCTCTTACCGAATGCTACCACAGCGCATTCGAGATTCAAAATTCCGCTTCACTTGGATGGCACATCCACCTGCTCAATCAAAAAAGGAACCCACCTGGCAGAACTTATACAAGAAGCATCACTAATTGTTTGGGATGAAGCACTAATGACACACAGACAAGCGTTTGAGGCCATGAATAGAACCTTTTGTGATCTCATGAACATACCTCTGATAGGACCAGGACATAAGTTGTTTGGGGGGAAAACAGTCCTGCTTGGGGGTGATTTCAGGCAGACTTTACCTGTAATTCCAGAATCTGGTCGCGAGCAAACAGTTGACGGCTCGCTCACTAGGTCTGACATATGGAGCTCCTTTACTTTGCTCAGGTTATCGAGAAACATGAGGATTGATAACTCAGCAGCAAATGAAGCTATTATTGGGAACAAATATACATTTGGAGAATGGGTTCTTGCACTTGGTGATGGGAAGCTGCCTACCAAACGTTTCAAAGAGGACACACCATCTGATTGGATTGAAATTCCTTATTTGTTTTTGGTTCAGCTAAGTGTTGACCCAATCTCCTCTATTGCAGCAGAAATATATGGTTCCTTCACTGAAAGCTACAGAGACACAAAGTATCTGACCTGTAGGGCATTTGTTACCCCTACAAATGCAATTGTTACCCGGGACTGGTTCGTTCTTATTATAGCTCAGATTCTATGCAGAGTGATACAGAAACACCGGAGTCATTTAATGAAACATACCCAACTGAATTTCTGAATACATTAACATTCAATGGTGTGCCGGATCATGAGCTCAAACTGAAGGTCCATACTCCTATTATGTTGTTGAGAAATCTTAATACTTCTGCTGGACTTTGCAATGGAACAAGGATTATGGTAACAGAGTTGGGAGAAAATGTTATCAAAGGGATCATCATGGGTGGAACTTTTGATAAGAATCCTGTAATCATACCAAGAATTGTGCTGAATGTAGAGGATAGGAAGTGGCCATTTATACTCAAGAGGCGCCAATTTCCAATACGGCTTTGTTATGCAATGACTATAAACAAAAGTCAGGGCCAAACTCTGGAAAAGGTGGGGGTCTATCTACCAGAGCCTGTGTTCAGCCATGGCCAACTGTATGTTGCTGTTTCAAGAGTGAGATCAGCAGAAGGTCTTCGCTTTTTGATAACCAACACAGATGGAATCCCAGACAATTATACCAGAAATATTGTCTTTGCTGAAGCTTTTGAGGACATCGGTACAGATCGAGTGAATAGTTTGCAGCCATGACAGGTACACTATTCATGGACTAATAGTTGAGAAAACATTCCATTTAGTCTAATTGTCATTTTATAATTGAATTTGACCATGTTGTTCAGCCTGCCAATACAAATGTGTGTAATGAGATACATGTTTTGCCCACTGTAGGACTCGGTCAGATCAAGGACCAGGTGAAGCAAAGCCTTGCCATTTAGTCTCAACAATTAATTATTTACATTTTCAATCTGTGTTGTTTTGTCATAAACATAGCCATGAGGACAGCCCCTGTGCAATCATCTTTGTTAAGCAGAAATATTTGTTGCCTCCCTCCGTTGCCCATGAGTGTGTCCTCCTACGTGTTAGTCAACTCAGCCTCTTTGAATGAGAGACTCTTAAGTCATTATGGTTGTCTCAATAGTTAGCAAGTTATTCATGGTGATCCTATGTCCAATAGTTAACAAGTTAGCAAGTTATTCACTGTGTCCAATTTCAAATTCTGGAATATTGTCAAAAAAAAAAAAAATTGGAATTTTGCCGGTTTGTTCTTAATGTTCTTCTCGTGTTCATATCCATAGTTCTACAAGACCACACCTTAATCCACCAAAGTGAAATAATGAAGTCCAAAGCTGTTCATTCACAAAACGACATGCTATTAGTCGTTTTATTTGGTTGCTAGGCCCGAGCACATGTTGGGCTCAGAGATGCACTTGGACTTTTTTTCTCTTCATGGGAAGCCTAGAACAATTGAACTATTTTTTGTGACATTTTAAAAACAAACAACCCGATTCCAAAAGTTGCTTTTGGTGTGGGCTGCAACCAAAATCAGCAAACTTTTATTCTTCAAATTATTTCCAAAGACGTAATAAAGCACAATTGCATGAAATATACACTAATAATTTTAGTGACATAAATCAAGACAATAGACACCCTTATATTATACATTAACTACAAAATTGCATGAATTTACCACAAGTCCCGGTGCGGAGCGCGGGTATTAAAGACTAGTAATTATTATGCATGCACCATAATCCCAATGTAAGCTTCATGTCCTGCTTGCTTGCTTGTCTTTACGTGGGGCAAAGTCACCAAACTAATTTAAATCCCATGAACACGTCCACCAATTTGTTACCCACCGCACAGCTCACTTTGTTTTCAAGCGCCAGCACGCTCCCAATTGATTCTTATATCGTTGAATAAGAACCTTCATTTTTGGACCGCGGGAATTGAATATCGTGCTAGTCGATATCGTATCATTCCCTCTCTCTTGAAGAAGATTCGACCTCGAATCTTTATAGAATCTTGAACCATGATCACTGCCGCTCTTCTTGGTCTTTGAATTAAATTGTCTTGGCATTGAGGATTGTATCATAGTATACTAATTAGGGTTAGACAAAGAAGGCAAAGAAAGAAATAAAGAAAGCGTTATGGTCTATGGAAGGCTAGTGAAAAATGAATCGAAGAGGAAATAGATGATGGAAAGGTTTTGACCAATTCTTTTAGTTGACCGTCAATACAACAATCAACTCTTTTCACCGTATCAATTTATTGACACTTGCTTTTGAAGATGTCACATATTTTGTTACATGTAGTTAGTAAAAGTTTTTTTAGTACCCGTAAATGTATTAAATGAGTTTATAAATTCGCTCTTGTAATATTTTAGAGTCGTCTCTCTTTTATTATTTATTTAATGTTTCATGTAATAAGTAAAAGTAAAATGGTCGAATCTTCTTTTAAAGTTGAGTTATACAATATCTTGTATTGTACAAACTAAATTTATACTTTTATGTTATGGTGGATTGGATTCATGGATTGGTTCAAAATGATTTGTGGATTAGATTCATGGATTCAAAAGAAATCTAAACATTGGGACCAATATGTAAATTTTAAAAACTATAGGTATAAATATCTCATAAAATTTAGATACCAAATTATAAATTTTCAATTATTTTACATTAAAATTAAATTTAGGTTATCAAAATATAAAATGTACATTATAGTGACTAAGTTTTGATTTAATTAAATTTGGGGTATCAAATTATAAATTATTAGGTAACAGTAACCTCACTTCAGATTAATATATTTTTTAATTATTTTACATTAAAATATGTCAAATGTACATTATAGTGACTAATTTGTGATTTAATTAAATTTGGGGTATCAAATTATAAATTATTAGGTAACAGTAACCTAACTTCATATTTATATATATTAACTAGGTGGCGATGCCGCGTCTTGTCACGGGCGGAGATGGTCTATGGGAATGTATTATGTGGCCTGTTATGGTGTTTTGCTAGTATTATTAGCCTAAAATTAATTTTTTGTTGGCAGCTTTGTTAGTATTATTGACTTGACAGTATAATATTGACTGAGAAGAGTGGCAGTCAACATCCGATTTTATTTTTTTAAAATTTTGGCTAATGATTTATATTTATCTAAACCAAAGTAGACCCATTGATTATGGGTAGGGTATGGGAGATGTATATATGAGTTTGAAAATTTGTAGATGAGTTTGGGTAGGGTATGGATATTACTTCCATAATCTAAATGTGTATGAGTTGGTATGGATACCCATTTATTCGAGGGTATTTTATTATACATACAAAAATTAGACCTATTTGTAGAACTTCAAAAGTTTAGGTACCAAAATATAATACACAAAAATTTTAGGTACTAAAATGTAATGTTTCACCAACATTTTGAGGACTTATATGCGAAAAAAAATAATTTTAGTTTATAAATCTAAGGATCTATTAAGTTTAGGTACCAAACTATAATTTGCATTGTTGAGGCTTAATTCCTTCATGGTGATGTATTTAAGATGATAATTATTAATTAATTTTTTATAGAAAAATGGAAACAATTCATTTGATATGTGTAGATACCTACCCAAATATTCCATGTATAATTGTTGAAAATTCTAGCTTGGGTGAAAAAGAAAAACTATAGAGAGAAGCAAAAGGATACAAACTGGAACTCACTTAAAATTTCACGCCTTCAAATCCCATAGTGTAAAATAACAACTTTCTAATACGTAATAATCATATATATTTATTTTTAATTGGACTCGACATTGAGCTGAAAAAGTTAGTGGCTCATGGTTCAATTATTAATTTTCTAGACTGTTGGTGAGTTGTATATGAGCCCGTTCATACTTGTGATTAGAATACATAAAAATAGTATACTAATTAGGGTTAGACGAAGAAGGCAAAAAAAGATATAAAGAAAGGATTAGGGAAGGCGAGTATGAAATGAAGAGGAAATAGATGATGGAAAGGTTTTGACCAATTCTTTTAGTTGGCCGTCAATACAACAGTCAACCCTTTTCGCTGTAACAATTTATTGACACTTGCTTATGTAGATGTCGCATCTTTTGTTACATGTAGTTAGTATAAGTTTGTTTAGTGCTTTGTAAATGTAACTAAATGATTTTATAAATTCGCTCTTGCAATATTTTAGAGTCGTCTCTCTTTTATCATTTATTTAATGTTTCACGTAATGAGCAAATATAAAATGGTCGAATCTTCTCCTGCAGTTAAGTGATACAACATCTTGTATGGTACAAACTAAATTTATAATTTTATGTTATGGTTGATTGGATTCACTGCCTTCTATCCCTTTTGGAAACGGATAGCTCTCTCTCTTAAAAGTTTTTCCTCTGCCTTCTCTCTAGAAGTTTGAATTTCCAGGCAGCCATGGGGGCTGCCGCCGACGCTCCTCCGGCGACCGACGGTGGCCCTCTGCCCCTCTGATTTCCCCACTTCTCATCCTTTGCGTCTTGTCTTTTCATCTCTTGTATTTGTTTTTTTCCTGCTCTTTTCCTTCTTTGATTTTGCTTTGTCCTTCCATTCATTGGTGCTTTTTCTACCCTTTGTGGTTATCCTTCCTCCCCCTTTGTTGGGTTGAGATTTTGCCCTCTGATATGATCCTTCAGATCTGGAGATGTTCCTATTCTAAGATGCAAAGGAGGCTAGATCTGTTTCTGGCTTGTCTTCTCTTCCTCTCTCCCTTCGTCTACCTGAATGTTTCATCCTGCAGATCTCGATGATTCGGAGATGTGGCCATCGTGCTTGGACTCGGCGTGAAGATTTTGAAGACTGTAGGTCACCCTCTCGCTCCGACACCATCCGCCCTTTCGTTCGTTAGTTCATCCCGTTGGTGCCCGACGATGGAGAGCTATCGGAGTTAGGACCAGTGAAGTGTCGGTAGAGACGTCCCCGCTTCTACCGCCTCCGACCGGGTTGGTGGACGCCAGGCTTTCCTCCTCGTTGCAAGTTTGTTCTTTGGCCTCGGTCTGTTTGTGGATGGAGGCTTTGTTGGTACCAGCGGCGGTGAGGAGTCAAAGGGGCATTCAATCGACAGCTAGGGTTAGGAGCTGGGTTTAGGTCGAGCCTGTGGCTGGGCCCTATTGGGTTTCCATGTTGTTGTTTGGGCTTAGCGATTTGGGCTTGGCTTCTTTCTATGAGTTGTCTTTTGTTTCTACTGTGACTTGTTCCTTTGGGCTTGTCCTATTTGCAT